TGACTGTTCGAAGTTACAATGGCACTGAAAAAAGTGCCCCCCCAAGCCACAGCCGAGCAAGACACCTGCCTGCCCGCCTGGTGGCGCTCTTCCTCCTGTCCGAGGTTTTCATTGTTGTGAGCATTTCTGTTGAGGATTGGCAGTGGGAGTGCGGTGGGGGGTGTTTGGTTTTTATTCCCCCCATCTGCTGGGTGGTTGCAGAGGTTTTGGTCACTTCACATGACCCTGGGACACTGTGACCATCATAAATATGAATCAGTTGCCAAGCATCACAAGACTCTGGAGATGCTGCAACATTCCAGCTGATTGGCGCTTCTTCTGGGCTCAGCAGAAGCACCAGGATCAGTGCTGAGCTCCAGCTGGAGCCTAGTGCTGATCCTGGTGCTTCCGCTGAGCCCTGACAGCCCTGCAGCTCCAACCATCTCTCGCTCAGGCTTATGCGGTGCTGCCACCGGTTCAGTTCATTCCCCTCCCCCACTACTTTTCTAGGATGGTTGCATACCACCTGCCAGGTGCCAATGTACCACAGATGGTACCCGTACCACTGGTTGAAAAGCCCTGTTCTAGTACACCACGAAAACTCCACTGTGGGGGAGGGGATACAAGAGCAATAACCAAAGTTGCTATATTGAATCACTATATTACTATGAAACCACCAATACATTCATCTTAATGACAAATTTTGCTTGTTGGTTTATTTATTTATTCAGTTTGGAAGCTGCCTGGCTCTGTAGCAAATCTGAGCAGTTTATAGGTAACAAATTAAAACAAAACAAAACATATTAAGAAGAAAAAGAAGACAGATGATCAGAAATCCTAAACCAAAAAGCCAATTGTCCAATAACAAACCAAAGGGACTCAACCCCCATACTAGCTCAGGGCCTGAGAAAACAGCCATGTTTTAAACAATATACAAAAGGTGAGAAAGGTGAAAGCAGTACAGATCTCCAGGTAGACATGAATTTAAGCATGGCTCTTACATTTTGTAACATGCTACTGCCTAATTAAGAGATATGGAGCATGCCCCCTTGAGTTGATAAGACCAGGCAGGCGGAAATATATGGAGAAATATAATGAGGCCCTATGCCATGCACATTTTAGGTGATAACCAGCACTTGGAACTTCACCCAGAACCCAAATGGCAACCAGTGCACCTGGAAAAACAGTGAGGAAACACGCTCAAACCACAACATACCCATCACTGCCTGTGCTGCTGCATTCAAGATAGCTGTAGTTTGCTAATGGTTTTCAAGAGCAACCCCGCTTAAAGAATGGATCTATCCATCAGATTTCCATAATCCAATTCACAGTAACCAATACATGAGTGATTCTCAAAAGATCTTCCCAGTCCAGTCACTTGTGTAAAGGCCCACATGGCCACAATTGCCGTTTGTTCTTCAAATATTAGCTGGGATTCCAAGAAAACCTCTAACTGTACACCAGCCTTGCATAGGAAACTACAACCCCCATAAACACTAAACTAAAGATAGAAGGACCCGAGAACCAGAGGGGGTGAAACAAAGAAAACAATTTTTGATGCAGGTTTTGTATTATTGGTAGCTCTAGGTCATGGGTAGGCAACCTTGGCTAGCATGGCTGGCTCAGGAATTCTGGGAGTTGAAGTCCACAAGTCATAAAAGAGCCAAGGATGCCTACCCCTGCTCTAGATAAAGCTAGACATACCAAGTGCTTATTTCAGTAAAGAACAGATTTCTATCTTTTTGCTACTTTACTTACTGAATCTTGCTACACCATAAGAGCCATGGTGGTGCAGTGGTTAGAATGCTGTATTTGCAGGCTAATTCTGCTGACTGCCAGGGGTCCTCACCGGCTCAAGGTTGACTCAGCATTCCATCCTTCCAAGGTCGGTAAAATGAGGACCCAGATTGTTGGGGGCAATATGCTGACTCTGTAAATGGCTTAGAGAGGGCTGTAAAGCACTGTGAAGTGGCATATAAGTCTAACTGCTATTGCTTTTACATCATGGATCTAGCCATCAGATTGACTTGTTCTGTAATATTAATCAAATATAGTGCTATTTGACAGAGCTATTGTGAGTCAGAAAATTAAGGGTCTACAATTTTTTCCAACTATGCCATCCAAATAATCAGTTTAATTATAAAAGATGACAGTGAATAAGTATAGTTTCAAAGTGTATTTATATTTATGCAAAAAAATTTTCTATGCAAAAGATTTTGCAGAATTTCAGCATTTAACATTGAGTTGGCCACTGTCTACTGTTTGACTTTTTTGCTGTTTTTGAAAAAAACAACAATACAAGCTTGTTACATTCTTTTACACAACATAAAAGGGATATTCTAAAAAAATGTTGTTTTTGAGTTGTGTGTTCTCATCAGGTACTTCACTGAGAAAACAGAAAGTAAATGAGATTCTATCCAGATTAGCGTTCTTAATGGCATGTGAAAGCAAGTAAACAAGTAATTCCATTTCAATAAAGCATACCTCTGCAATGCAGCAGCAAAGAGAAAACAAAAAGATATCCAATCTGATTTGATTGGTGCGCTTATGGATTCAGAGGCCTTAATCTTCAAAAGCCAAGAATACAGACAGGTGCATTTTGATATTTCTTTAATGGGTAACTGTATGAATTTTTTCAAAGCGGATGGGAAGTCACCCCCTTCTCTCAGGCAAATACAGTGAAGATATTCTTCAAGTTCTTATTGATTCTTATTAGTTCAGTTTTTAATACAGAATGTCTATGAAGTTCATACTAATCATGAATTAAGTTTTATTTCTAATTTCCTTCTCAAAGAAACCAATGATTCTCTCACCATTCAGATTAGCAAAAGCTAGATGGATCAACATTCAATTTTTATTCAACTTTTATGATGAAACAAATACTTCCAATTGAGCTGATTAGGTCTATTGATTAAAATACTGGACCAGAAGCATGTAAGCGTGCTTTCTAGTCCTATTTTAGCCATGGAAGTTAACTGGACTAATCACTCCTCTTAGCCTTAGGAAGAAGGCAAATCATTTCTAAAAATATTGCCTAGAAATCTACAAGGACATTTCCATGTTCTTGCCAGGTGTCCTGCCTAGTTCAAAAACAAAACTAAACAATTCAAAACATAATATGTACTGGTGCAGAATAAGTTGTATGGCATATTTATCAGGATAAAAATTTGGGGGGGGGTTATTTCAAATTAGCTGATAAGAATAGAAAAGAAGGACTGATCCCAAAATGGAAAAGACTAGATAGTCCAGCTGAAAGAGGATGCCTTGAAAATGAGCTGCTATTTGGAAAGAACTGCTTTACTACTAAATTTAATCTTTTTTATAATATCTCTTTTCTTAATTTTGCCACCCACTCTATTTTGGTCCTCCCTCCTTTCTTTGTTGGTATTTCTAGTAGAAAGAGGAAAGCTCTGTGGATGCTTATGTGTGCATACTTGTTTCTTTGTAGGAAGAGTAGTATGAGCAAGAGAGACTGGTGGTATATAGAGATATAGGATAATGTGCCAGTATGTTGCATGTATTTCCAAGTTAATGAGATATAGACAATAGTCTATAGTCTAGCAAGTTTGCTAGAGCCTAGCATGACAGAACAGCACAAGCATGCTTGGAATAAAACTGGGTTTTGCCAGATTAACCTGTTCCATACTATGAAGTTTTATTTTGTATTGGTGTTTCACTGCTATAAAGATGAAATGTTCTCTCGTTGCAGCTATGTTGAAAACTGGAGCTGGTCCAGAAATCAAAAGCAAGATTTTTGGAGGTTGCTTGCAGCCAGGAGTACAATACACTAGTACTGCAAGACCAGTACTGCTTGCCAATTTGTGTATATGGTTAGTTCTGGGTGGAGAGCCAGAACTAACCATATACCATTGTCTATATCGCAACAATAGCAGAGGCATAATCAATAAGGATACAGAAAAGGTCTTCTCAGCACCTTAATCTAGCCTGTAGAATTAGTAGATGTACTTTCTGTCAATGAACATATATCAGGAAGCAAGGGAGATAAGACTGTCAACAATTAGAGTCCATTATTGTTAGTATTGGTGAATGTTTTCTGCAATATATAGCAGGCAGTTCATTTTGCATCTGGAGACCATGCTTTTAATAACCATTTTTTTACTGAAATTTGCAATGATGCTGTCTGCCTCTTCACTTTTGTAAAAGAGTGCTTTTAAAAAGTTTATAGAGGTGAAGATAATTCACCCATTTTTTTTCAACTGAAGAACATAAAATTGAACTGTTAAATTTCAATGGTCCAATCTTGCAGAACTCTATAGGTCAGACATGTCAAACACAAGGCCCGGGGGCTGGATGCGGCCCGCGAAGTGGTTTCATGTGGCCCACGAAGCCCTCCTGGAAACAGTGAGGGAACAGCCCCCTCTGCCTTGGCCCTGGCCCAGGCCAGCTGGGAGCCAATGTACAATTTTGTGGTGACCATCTATGCTAAAACACATTCAGTCTTAGCTCCATAACCCCCCCCCCCGCATGGCCTGAGAGGATTCTCCAGTGGACCATGCCTTGGCACTTGCCCTGGTCCCACCTCCTTCTGCCAGAGACCCTCAGATCTATCCCACTCTTGCCCAGGCCCCCACAGGCACCCTTGACGCGAATGATGTAGAGCTGACCACACCCACCCAGTAGGCCACACCCACTCTATCTACACCCACCTAGTAGGCCGCACCCACCCTGGCCACATCCACCTGGCCCCCTGAGGGCAACCGCAATGCTGATGCGGCCCTCAATGAAATTGAGTTTGACACCCCTGCTATAGGTTATAAACAAAAAGGGGAAAGAACTATATGTAGCTCACTGGCTATAGATTACACAAAATAAAAAACTTAGCTACCCTTTCACTTCTCCAAGTATGGTTGATACCAAGTGATGATCTTAATGTATAGAAGAAAAGGTTTCAGGTATGTTAACAGTGGTCCAAACTGCATGTTAATTATACATGTCCCATATTTATAATAAAACTGTATAGATCAATGTTTCTCAACCTTGGAAACTTCTAAGACGGGTGGATTGCAATTCCTACAATTCTCTTGCCAGCACTGATATAGATAAAACATGTATATTTACCTTAATTCCAGGTAACCCAGGAAGTCCAGGAAGTCCAGGTTCACCCTACCAAATTAAATTATATTGTATTATAATAGAATATTACAATATTTTAATAGTAGGAAAATATTTCACAAATCAAAATATGTTCAGTATGTTGCCGCTACTTCTTACTTTATATCTGCTACTTAAAATACCTTCCCATTTAATACAGTGGGACAAAGTTTCAGTTTATTGGAAAGGACAGTATCATTTTTTATATACTACATGTCTGACAAATCAGATTTCAAATACATCTAGGAAACCAAAATTATTTATTTGAACACATTACCTTTTGTCCTGGTCTACCCGATTGTCCAGGTTCCCCCTAAACAAAGAAACAAATTATAAAGCAGGAGATTAAAATTAAAGGATGGCATTAACTTCAAGAAAGAAAGAAAATACAGAAAATTTAATTTTGGCATACATGTGAAAAAGTTCTTGTTACTCATATTACCTTAATTCCCGCAGCAGAAGATCCAGGATCACCCTACATAATAATAATAATGATAGTAATTAATGGAGGCAGAGGTTTACTTCAAGTAAAAAAAAAATACTGAAGAAGAAAAGCATACATTGGCTGGTTACATAAAAGGCAGCCAAGAACAAGCATTGATGGATATTAAAAACTGAGACTTACTGAATGTTCAAGAAACAAAGCATGAATATTGAACAAATGAAATAAAAAGCAGGACAGAATGCTGGCAAGGAAAAGTATTACATGGTCAATTTTTATAAAAGATTGAGGGAAAGTGGATACAGATAAAACCTGGCCATGACTTGAACACTGGAAACCGGATGGCTTGATTTTGGCTGCTCAGGTTCAAGCTAATGCAATCAAGACCAGATCTGAAAAATCATCCAATGATTCAAAGTGCAAATTGTGCAAAGCAGTAGGAACAGTAGATCATATACCCAATTTGTGTAAAAAAAGATTACACAAACTGACTATGAACAGCAACATAACACAGTCACCAAAATAACATTTGTAAAAATTAAAATGTGCCATTAATAAAAAAAATTAGTGGGAACATACTGTATAGAAAAAGTAATCCAAAATAAGAATGTTAAAATATTGTGGGATTTCCAAATACAAATACAAACTGATAAAATATTAGTCCATAAGACACCAAGAAAGCACTTTAAATTGGCTTATTATTTTATAAATGTTTGTGGGTCAAGGAGGAATAGAGACTTTGACTTTAACTGTTCTAGTTGAGGAAGAACAGCTTGCTGAATCATCTACCATTTGCAAAGCTCTACCAGCCCTCAGGGTGGAATATTGTATGTCCCGTGCAGGAATGTGAGAATTGGCAATGTATTCCTACTAAGTTTCACCTTTGAATCTCCTGTGTATTTGGTTAAAACTGATTATTTCAAGTGTGGGAAGGAAAGCTCTATAAATGCAAGCCAAAGTTACATACAGTCGAATTAGAATTCATGAGTAATATGTGGTGTTTGTCCACATGTATGTCTTCTGAAACAGAACAAGAAAACCAGGAAAGCCAAAGCAGAAAATTCTGGATTCAACAGTTACACAAAACAGGCTTCAGCCAATCTATATGAACTAAGGGATTTGTTCCTTCAATTTTTTATACTGTTGACTGAAGGAGAAAGGAAAAAGAAATGTGTTAAATGTCTTGTGTTCAAACTGTTTTGAGCTCATGATGACCCATTTCAGTTTGAAACAGTTGCCTGAAGCTCAGAGCAGACTTACCAATTTTACAAGAAATATTTAAATATCATAACAAGAAATACAAAGAAATCTGGGGAGGAGATTTCACAAGCCAGGAGATGTGACGGTAATTACTGACATTTTGCAGAAGAAATATTATAATAAAAAATAAAAGCCTCTCACAGTAGGAATCGGGTTTTGTGTAATAAAGAGTGAAAATAAAGTTCACTCTGAAAAAAATCCTAATAGATTGTCCCTTTTCAGCAATATTATAATGAAGTTTATATGGATGACATCAGTCTAATTAGTTATCACAAATAATACGATGATACTAAGGTTATAGTTGCTAAAAACCAAACCAAATGATTCATATTGATAAAACAAATTCTTTTGACTATGTCTTGCAAAAATTATAAAAATAAACATGTATGCATATATACTGGAACTACAAATTATAATTTTGAATATATCAGTTTATTAAATTTTATCATTAAAATTATAATTATTTTTTTAAAAAATGTATCTCTGTTGTTTTTAACCTGAATTTAAATGTACTTTGTGACCTTCTCTATAAATTGTACCTTTTCTCCAGAGTGACCTTTGGGTCCACTTTCTCCAGCATCACCCTAAATATCAGAATAAGTTCTTTTAAATTTTTTCTTTTACCAGTTGCTTTCTATTAAAAGCATCCTAAATTTATTTCTATTTACAGTTTTGAAGAAAAGTATAAAATTAGACCAAGGAAATGAACAAAAAGAGTGACAGAGTAATGGAAGAAAGAAGTGATATATTAGAAAAATCAAGCAATATTTCAGTCTTAGTCTGTACTGGCTCTGGCCTGTCTTCCTGTCACATCAAACTTGGTTTTTTGCTTAAGATTTTTTTACAATCATATTTATTGAAATTTAAAATTACAAAGATAAAAAAGTAATACAAACCAAGATTAATTTAAGCAAGAAAAAAATAGAAAATTAAAAAGGGGAAAGAATGGGAAGGGAAAGGGTGATGAAATGAATGAATGAATGTTCTCTAATATTCCAAGAAAACTCTTTTCATCCCGTATCTCCTCATTTTTCTATTGACAAATAATAAAACCTCACTTTTTATCAGAAAAAAATCTAATAACATTGGTTAGCTATTTTCAACATTGTTTTTCCTTTACAGAGTTTCATAAATCCCTCAAAATGTAGACATCTGAGCTGGCAACTTCCTGAAACTTTAGGCCTCAATAGCATCAGCTATACAATAACAGTTAAATGGTAAGCTTCAACTGTTTTTTTTTTTGTTGCCTTTTTATTTCCCTTTTTTGTTCCCTTTTCTTCCCATGCTTTGTTTCAACTCTTCCAGTTACAATGTGACTTACAACTTTTCAAAATGAAAATTCTGATTTTTCATAGTGTTTACAGCACCTTATGAATATATAACTTTGACCTGGGTGCTGTTTTCCTAAGTTCTTGCATAAAATGGAATGTATAAAAAGTTGTTGAACACTTCACAATTCAGTTTTGAAATTATTTGTTTGTAGGACTAAATAAGCATATATGTATTACCTTTTCTCCCCGTTGTCCAGGATCACCCTAATTGAAACAGAAGGCAGAAATAATGCATTTATTGTTCTCAAAGGACATTCATGCAGATCTATCAGACCTTTATGTATGACCATTACATCTATTTAATAAATATAAATTTAAGGATAAAGATTGTAATTTTGACACTGATTCAAATAAAATATTTGGGCTACATTACTGTAATATATTTTTATGCAACTTTTTAGTTGGTTAAAATATTTTTTATTCATATGTAGCTTACTTAGTATTTTAAAACTTACAAAGCAAAGGACTTCTTGTGACTACGTAAAGCAAGGGTCCCCAACTCCAGGTCTCAGCCTGTTCAGAACTGGGCTGTGCAAGCGGCTGGCAAGCTTGTGCATGTGCACGAAGCTCCCCTTGTGCAAGCAGTGGCTGCTTACTCTCGCATACGAAGCTCCCCTCATCAAGTGCCAGCTGCTTGCTCTCTCACATGAAGCTCCCTTTATGTGAGCTTCATGTGCCCTTCTGCCACTTGCAGGCAACAATTCCCTCTCCCCCCTCCCCACTGGGACACCAAGCCAGAAAGGTTGGGGATTGCTGACATAGAGGCTCTAGGCTGATTCCTTTTTTAATTCCGCCCCGTTGTTCTGCCACTCCTTCTCCTACAGGTTGAAAAACTATAATCTTAAATAATTAATGGCTTTGTTTTGACTTTTTAATATCTTGCAGATGTATTCTCATACTCCACCAAAGACACCTTGAATTTACTCTTATATTCATAATGCTTACCGATTGGAAAGCAACTTTAAATACTCTGATTATGACTTAGGCAATTCATCTTGTTTTAACTTTGCCTCCATATAGTTCATTCAAACTTATCTAATTATTGATTTCTTGCACTTCTAAAATATAACAATAGAGAAACTAATTTGCTATTAATTGTCATCAGTGAAAGTCTAAAATGAGAAATGAGTGCTTGCCAAAGGCCTTTGTTCTTTCCTTATATATAAAGAACAAGATGATCATTTTAAGACCTTGCCCCATTCATAGAAGATCCAAATTCTGTTGTGACCCAGGACTGCATGCTAAAAACACATTAGCATGACCAATGTAATAAAAAATATAGACTATTAAATCTAAGAGCATTTATATACTAGTGATAGAATTGTTTTTTTTCTTCTGATATATTTAGAGCCATTTTTTCTTGATCAGACTGTATTGATTCACCACCATACTTAAGGAATCCATGATGCTCTGTAAACCTTGATTCCATATGTTTAAAGAATGAGAGAATAGCTTCATGAAGGCAGATTTATCACTGATGTGACAAATTACATTAGTAATATGATTATTAATTATATTTTCTTAAATACTGTTGTATACAAAACTACAAATTACTACTACAACTTAAGCATTATATAGTAGAGAAATTTGCAACTATTACTATGTAATCTGTGTGACTACTCTATTTGCCAGATACAACTTTTAAGAAAACGTCAAGACTCTTCTTTTTCTTCTTGATCTTTATAATGGGATTTGGACAGTGTTCAAATACATACTTCTTCAGTTAGACAAATCTCTTCTAATAGCTTTAAAAAACCAACTACCTTATGTAAGTTAGGACATTTGGCAATTAATAAGACTAGAACTTATATATCTGCTTTGCATCAGGGCATATTCTTTGTCTATGTAGGTTAGTATTTTGATTATAAGCAGTTCTTCAGCGTTAAGATATATGCATCCTTTTCAGTTCTGGCCCTTGACACTTTCTTAAACTGAAAACTGAGAGGGAGAATTGTATTGCGAATCAGGATCAAGATACGGTTTCTCAGAAATTGACTTAAAAGTCATTCAGCCATATTTCCCTCAATAATAACAAAACCAGTTAATGTATAATATGGAAACATTTAAATTCTGCAAAAGACGTCTTTGGGTGGAGAACTAAGAAAATGAACGATCCTTTTCATCAAAGGTCAACCTTCTGTAAAGATGTGAGATCCATTTACAGAAAAGGCTCGTTATTTAAATCATACATGACTAGAGAAGAATCTAGGGAGTATGATGGCTCACAAGGTTAGGATACTGGGTTAACGACCAGCAGGCTCATGTTCAAGACCTGGTTGCTACCACAGGATGAGATGAGCTCTCATCACATGCTCCAACTCCTGCCGACCCAACAATATGAAAGCAAGCGACTGTGACCAGATAAATGGGTACCACTTCAGTGGGCAACTTAACAGGGACATGAAAGGAACCCCCAATTGGGCATCTGCAGACAATGGTGATGTTACCACTCAATCTTTTCAACCCAGAAGTGCTTTGGCGCTCTCAACACAACTATAGTAGTACAGAAGAATCTTATAGGAATAGGCAATATACCCCATTTCTTCTTTTGATATAAGTAAAGTATATTTTACAATGTGTTTATTGACGATTGTTGTTCTACTCCCTATGAGCTCCACTGACAAGCTATTCTGCTACAAAAAGATGACTCTCAAAAGAACTGCAAAAAAAATCATGTATAAAAATAGAGTGTGAAAAATTACTAGCCAGAATTTTATCTACTAACCTTAAGTCCAGAGACTCCTCTTTCTCCCATTGCACCAGGTTCTCCCTGAAATAATGACATTAAAAAATTAATTAAATTGAACTGGATCAGCAAATTTCACGCCTAAGTGATCAGTTCAAAAGTACAATAAGTGTTGCAATAAAAACAGAAATGAAAATGTATATGTTTCTTTAAAAATTTCCTTTATTATTTTTCAAAGAGTGGTTAATATAAAGAATTAAACTAATACATTTGATAATTATTTTTTTAGTAAAATTATGTAATAAATTTATTAATATTTGCCTCATCTCTATCATGAGCTGGCTCTTTTAAATGGAAAGGGTAAAGGTGTTTCTAATAGCATAGCATTAGATACAAATCTTAACAAATTGTTTTACATTATGAGTGGAGGTAAGCATGGACAATAATTAAGCAAGATTTTTTTTTTTAAAAAAAAGACTACTTTAATATGGCTTATTAAATCCTTAGTCTTGGGTATATCTGAGCTGATGTCTCAGAAATAACCTATTTTAAAGTACAAAATCCACAGATGGAAAGCATCTTTATTAGCGTCATCAAAATGTCATGCAACAGCATGTAAACTGTTTACTCCTTTGAGATATTTTTGATAGACTTAAGTAAAGCAGCCCTCCCCAAATTGGGTATTTTCCAAATACTTGAAACTCAACTTTCATAATTCCCAAACAGTTGTCATATTCCTACAAGGGTAAGGATTCAGAGAATGATGAACTAGTTTAATCTGACTGAGGCAAACCCTCAATATGATTTCCCATATGAAAATGTAGTCCTGTTATCATCTCAGATTTAACCTAATTTTGTACTTCCTGTGTGGAGCTTTCCAAGGATCTGAAAATATTTTATTTTGCCAAAGCTTAGACCTTTTTTCAACTTCTGAAAAATAGACTCTGTGAATTCTTGTTGCAGTTCTCTTGACACAATATATAGCTCCAAAGTTGATTATAAATATCATAAAGAACAGCAGGAGAACTTACATCCATATGACCTAGTGAAGGATATTGTATTGATACTTCTCCTACCAGAATCAATGCCAATCCTGTTACATTACAAAATCTGTTGGCTAAGAGTCAGAAGAATCATTCAAAGGCTAACAGGCCAAAGCTTGTTATATGCTTTCATCAGTCTTATTAAAAATATTGTGTATCGGGCATATATGATGGAACATGAGAGAAAGAAGCTAAGCAAGGATGGGCCTAATCACTACTTTTGTAACAGAATCCCCCCCATCCCACCCCCAGAAAATAAGTAAACTATAGACCTTGAAAATATCATGGAAAAAAGCAATGGCAACCCACTTCTGTACTGTTGCTATAAACAAACACTGTACAGTGGATGCATTCATAACTTTCAAACTCAATTTGAAGCACATTTCCCCTTCTTCACTTGATAAAACAAGATTTTATCCTATTTCCAAATATAGATGGAGGATATTTCTTAGTTCAATTCTAGGAAATTGGAAGGGTTTCTTGATGAAAAAAGGAAGATGTATAGAGTTCCACTAATTTATGCCAATTTATTTGTAATTTGTATTATAAGTAAAAAACGCCCCATAACACTAGATTTCTTTTAAGTTCTGTGAGCAAGACAGGGATAATGAAAAGTGGTCTTTTAGATATGTTCCTAACATTCTGAGCCAGAGCTGAATGAGAAATTTTCAATATACTTTTCCTCTCCCTTATTACCTGCCTGATACCTTAAATTATTTTTTCTAAGGCTGAAAAGCTTTTTTGTCCATCTGGCAAGTTAAGTAATACATATTTTTAGCAATGTTCTGAATGCTCAAAAAACCTGCTTGGGAACTTTCTGTACAAACTAAAGGCAGTGTTGTTTTCTACCTTTGGATTTGAAAATTCAATAACTCACTTTATGAAGAACCCCTTTATGTAAATACTCATTTCAAAGAAAAAAAAGTGAAGATTCCTTCTATGGAAGGGGAAAAAGAGCATGTCTACTGCAAAAATACCACATAAAGTAACACATATTCTTTGCTAAAAATTAGGAAATAAGCCAGTGTTTCCCAAACTTGACAATTTTAAGGCATGAGGACTTCAACTCCCAGAATTCCACAGCCAGCAACGCTGGCTGTGGAATTCTGAGAGTTGAAGTCCACATGCCTTAAAATTGTCAAGTCTGGGAAACACTGAAATAAGCAATGAAAAGTATTAGTAGATCTAAACAATACAATCCTATAAATCTAAGAGTCAAAAGAATGTAAATAGCCATGGTATTTATTTATTTATTTATTTTATTAGACGTATTTGTCACCCATCTCACCTCTGGGTGGCTTACAAACAATAAAAGTCAATGAAACAATAAAAAAAGAAATATCCATAACTGTAGTCATAATTTCAATTAAAACAAGGGGGAGAGAGGGAGCAAGATGCATGTAGGGGGAAGTGAGGTGCTTTTTACTCTATTAGTTACCTCCAGGCTCCAGGCTAGTTGGCACAGCCATGTTTTCAAGGCCTCATGGAAGATTAGAAGGGTGGGAGGGAATCTCACCTGGGAGGGGCAATGTTCCAAAGGGCAGGAGCCATGGCATAAGAGCCGAGGCTCTTCTCTTCTTTGACTGATGGAGTCTGCAGCATGCCTATTCTGCTGGCACAGGTGGGGGCAGGCCAATCCCACTGGAGGGAGATCCAATCCCACTTATTAATCTAATACAAGAGAATCTCAAAATCTCTTCACGCAGCAAGCTTTCATTAAATATGTTGCAGGTAGGTTTAGCTAATTAAAATGTCTAAATTACTAAAATGACTAAATATTTTCTAGTTGTGATTTTTTCTCTCTCTTTCATTTCAATGTGATTAAACAGGAATCAGTTCCATCACTGTAGGGCAAAACAAGAATGCAGCAAGATATTTTCTGGGCAATTGTCAAAACGATGCACAAAATGAACACAGTTACTATGGTTATATAGATGGAACCCAGTAGCAACTATATTTTTCATATGCATGAGTTTATTTATGACTAATTGATGCACTTGCTCATCTTTCTCTCACAACAGTTTTATGAGATAATCAAAACAAAGAGAAAAAGACTGGTCCAACCTCATTTGAATAAAGCATGCTAATCCAATGTGCTACATTAATCAGCATAATGATTTATTGTGATGTGCATCAATTTTAGAATTTGCCTTGCCAATGTGCATCATTTTAATAGTACAGTAAGTCAAAATTTATGTTACACACAGAACAAGTTAAGGTTGGGTCACACTTAAATATATCTATGAAATACTGGGCAATGTACATCTATGTAAAACAATGCAAATAATTTTTGATATTAGGCAATATCAAATTTTTGTTTTCATGTCTACATCTTTTTCTGTACTAAAATATTTTAATCTATGTACTCTTAAATATATAGTAAACTGACATAAAGGCATCATTTCAATCATATCATAAATTCAGTAACCATTGTTCATTTGAGAGGTCCATTTGTTAAACTTCATAGGAATGCTCAAGAATCTTGAAGAATACTGAGCTTTTTAATTTAGTCTTCCAAGTGCAGTTTCTGTGTATTCTAATCTACAGTGAATATTAGCAAATATACATGGAGAGGTTTAGAAATATAGAACCAAGCTTTCCTGAGCTTTGTTCTGTTTTAGTTTACAGAATCTTATTTTGAAAGAACTACAGATTCCTCAAAAGATCTTAATTCTAAAGTGAGAATACACAGCAGCAGCATCCATAATGCACAATGGAACTAAACTTATTTCCGCTTCATCTGGCATTACATCCTGCATAATAATATCACATATGTCATGAAACTGGCAAAAACGTAACTTTCCATCCTATCTGAAAGATTAAATAATTAAATAACAGCAAAGCACTGTCTTAGAAAGGCAAAGCTGCTACCAAACACAGAAGTCTTAAGATTTAAGATTTAAAAAGACCCCCACATCACTATTTTTTTGTCAGTATAAGCTCTCCCTTAGTTTAATGTGGCAAAGAAATAGTTTGCCTGGCCAAAAAAAAAAAAAAAAAGCCAAAACAAAACCAAACCCAAAGGATTTTAATATATACTCCTATGCATCCGAACATCTAATTAATATTGAAACACAAACTCATAAGGAAATTTGAGATTTGAGTTGAGAAAGTTTAAAGTTTCAAATTGTCCATAGCAATCTAGTTATAGGTCACAGAAAACAGAGTTAACACTGAAAAATGTTCACAGGAGAAAACAACTAATGAAGTCATTGGTGCTCTCTGTATCTGGTTGTTTGCTTGCAGTCATTTCATTACCCAACTAGATAACACTCAACATGGCTGATGAGTGTGGGGTTTGCTATACAGTAGCAAACAGTAGCTCATCATGCCGATGTTGGTTGGGGTGTCATTTTCTTCTTGGTGGGTCCTTGATTGGGGTATTATATTCTGTTTGATTGTTTGTCTAGTGTTAATCCCTTCTTATGGTGGTGTTGGCTGCTGGAGGGGATGTATTATGGTCTTTTGTTTCCTTCTTAGTTTTTTGTTGTCTCTTTTGGTTTGTAAATATGGTTTATTTCTAAATATGGTTTATTTATTATCTATATCTGTTGATGGTTGTTTTGTCTGAATACCAAGATTCCAGAAATTCCCTAGCATTTTTGGATTGGCTTTCCCTAACATTTTGGGGATTTGGAGTTGGCCAGTTGAAAATGTAGCTGAGTCTCTTCACACCAGAATGCATCCCCTCCAGTAGCCAATGCCCAGAATAATATATATATACACACACACACTTTATCTGTAGGCATTCATTAAGGAAGACAGGCATCATGACATCGTGTTACAATATTGCCCATCAGAACAGAGCTATCTGCAGAAATACCCATAGTTAATTTATTATAAGCCCAAAAGTGAAAAGTCTTTGGATTAAAAGAATAGATGAAGGAAACAAAGTTTAGGCTATTTTATGTATTTCAATGTAAACTGATGAATATTTTAAAAAGAAGTAGTATCTATGAAGACAACAGTTTGTACATTCATTATAGAAATTCTGCTATGCCAAATGTTTTTATTCATGCTAAGTTAATCTTTAATAATACAGTTTTATGAGGCCCATGATTTAAAAATCACTCTATCTAAGATGCAAGTTATTAAAATACCAATCTGATCAGCCAAGAATGACACACCAATTGCTATAAATTCTCATACACATTTTAAGAGAATTTAACTATTGTTGTTGGGGATAGATTGTCCTTGTGGAAGTTGCAATAACTTAATTTTATTAGGAAAATTTAAAGAAACATAAAATTACTGGAAATACTGGAGGGACTTATTCTCTATATATAATGTTGGATTGAAATATTTATCTTAGTTTAGTTTAAGTTTTAATGCAGATTGCCAGTCAAAAGAGCTGTGAAACAACAAAGAAAAATGTAATGTGAACTACCACATTAAAGAATTCTCACTAAGCCTTTATCACATTTTTTCGATAAAAGATAATTACCAAGAACCTAGGATCTCTCACTTATTTTCTCATGGAGCTGTATTTTAACTGATCTCTAGTTTTGCTTTCTGCCAAATGCATTGATTTCTGCTCTCCCCTCATTGCCATCCCCACAGGAGGGATTCATTGTTCTTCGTCTTTCTTACTTTGCTCTCTAACCTCCAGGTCATCAATAAAAGTTTAAACCACAGAGCAACACTGTATTTTCTAAGCTCCATTAATTTTATTTGGTTTTATACACATGGAACGTTGTATTGGATTGCAGTCATTCTAGTTGGACATTGTTTATTGTCTCTTGTGCCACAGTGTTTATCATTTGTATATACTTTTCTGGCCAAGACAAACTATGGACCTACTTTTTGCTTTTATGTTAGACAAAATGTCTTAATTTCATGGATTTGCAAAAATAATATTGTAAAATAGCAATCATATCCTGGGAGTAAGAGCCATTGAATTCAGTTAGAGTAATTTCTAAACAGATTAGGATTACATCTAAAAACAATAGTAATTTACCTGTTGTCCATCTGTTCCTGGGATACCAGGTGCACCAAATGAGCCCTGAAGAGAATCATATATCTGAATTTAGCAACATTATCAAACAGATCATGCAATACTTCACTATAGATGTTTATCTTTTGTAAATTATGAGACTTGATTTATACATTCAGCTTTCAATAGTGTTATTCTTTAAATTAAATATAAAGTATTATCCTTTTTACGTTATTGTTGTGTATTCTGTTTCAGAATTATGAAGCAAAGTTTGTGTGCTAAAACTGAATTCAATATTTAAAAGTTTCTCATAGTTTTAGAATATATTCCATATTTTATTTTTACAGAATTACTTAAATACCTCTAATTTTGAATATAGTTATCATCTACATGTTATCAATATGCTCCTTGCCTTTTTTTATAAAATACTGAACTCAAACACACATGCCCATTTTAAATAATACTATTAAAGAAAATAAATCAAGTTTATTTGATCCATTCAATGTGCTGCTACTTGTTGAAAGGTTTTGAGGTCTAATCTGAAACAAAAAAATCACTTATGAATGAAAATCACCTATGAAAATTGTTCTCTTAATTACCACAGCATTTACTTAATGCCCACAGAGTTCACTTAATGATCATGGAAAAAACTATTGAAAAATTGGATAAAATCACATGATGCCTCAACTTACAATCACAATGATGTATGACCATAATTCCAGGCTTAATTACAATCTATTGAACAGCTATAGAGCCTGCATGCCAAAAGTAGATACATTACTGAATAATTTTTATTAAGAATTTTTACTATAATTTTATATAATTATATTAAATATATTAAAATTATATATTTTAATATAAGTAGAATCTAATATAAACTAAACTTAAAGAAAAGAGACTAGAAAGAAACAAACCACATCGATTGCATTATGCTATTATAATAATATCTTATAATTTTATTTTGTATTTTTTAAAAAAGAAAATACTGCTTTCCAGTTATAATCAGAAGTTTTGCCCATTTTACAAGTAACAAATATTTTAGTTTCCTTTAATTACTTGTTGAACCTCTACAGTTTATGAAATGTCAATTATAACATTTTATTCTAAAGAAACAGTGCTCAAAACGATTTAGTTGGTGAAGGATGGAGAGAGAGGGGGATAAGTTGTCAGGCAGCTGCTTCAGAAAATTCGTTTGAAATGTTTTTTTATTCCTGCCGTATTTGTACTGGTGCAATGCTGCAGCCCATAAATTGTGAATTCACTCTTTCATTGTCAGTCCTGATGAATGTAAATAATATTGAAAACATTCACAGGAAGTCAGTTCTCTGGTTACTATAGAAATCAAATTATAGTGGCCAGCAATCAAAAATCCATATTTCAACAACACCTAGAATTTTTTTGTTCTCTTTATTTTTTTACATCATATGGCAGCAATCTATTCAAAGGCCAAATGAAATTCAAGCTGCATTTCCCACTATATTCAGAGTTTGGTTTCATTATTTTATCAATTATAGCAGCTTCTTTAACTGGTAAATTTAGCTAACAGAGTAAAAGGAAACATTGCCTCATCTCTATAACTAAGTGGGTTGGTGAGGAGTTGAGATTTTTCTTCTTCCTTTATAAAATAGAGCTCACGGACTGAACATCTGCTAGAGTATGTGGGATACAGTAGTGAAAGCCCTTTATGCCACCAGATTGTATCTTGGCACTAGGCAGCAAAAATCTTTCTTATCACGGTGTACTGTATACTATACCTTTTGTCCTGGAGGTCCCTGAGGTCCCTAAAAAGGAGAACAATGGAATTAACATAATAATCTAGACAATTTAACTAATTTAATGACTAACTAAAATTAATTAATTAATAATTTAATTTAAAAAAAATTAAAATAACTAATTAAAAACATGCCCTATTCTGCAACTGTCTATCTTGAGTCAAAGTCAACTGATGCTTCGTACATTAGGGAAAACATAAGTTTTGCAAAAATACAATAGGTATTTTTCTCTTCCTGAATATTAATTATGGCTTCTAGACCCCTTTCTTTTTCTTTGGTTATCTTCCATATCAGTGGTGGTGAACCTATGGCACGTGTGCCAGAGGCGGCACGCGGAGCCCTCTCTGTGGGCACATGCACCATGCCCTGGAGATGGCAACCATCCCTCTTCAACCAGCCACCTGCTAACTTGCCCACACGTGGCTGGATGCATCCCAGCATGGCTGGTTTCCCTCCCCCCTATCTAATCCCTCCTGGCCTTGCATGCTCTCCTTTTTCCTGGGCACGACCCACTGCATCACCTCCTCAGCTGTCGGCCATCTGTCCAGCTCAGAGGCGGCTTCTCTGAACTGCTGGCAATGGGCTGCGGAGCCCCAGAGTGTGCTGGTCGAGGGACCGGAAGGCTGTGGATGCTGACAGACACTGTTGGCTCCCATGCGCTCACTGGCCTCTGTGTGTGGGGGCTGATGGTGTCAGGCAGCAGCTGCCCTCGCCCCTGCCTCGCCTTGCCCTGAGACAATGGCACCCCAGCCCTGCTTTGCCTTGCCCCGCAGAACGAGTTTCCTGCCCACTGCCCCACCTGCCAGAGACCTCCTGGATCTCCCTGAACCTTGCCCGGTCCCCACAGACATCCCTCCCCATGAGCAACATCAAGGTGACCATGCCCACCTTAATCACACCCACCCAGTCTGCCATGACCACCACAGCCATGCTCACCCAGTGGGCCACACCCACCCGGCATCCAGTAACAAATAAGTGGGTTTTAGGTTGCAGTTTGGGCACTTGGTCTCTAAAAGGTTTGCCATTACTGTTCTATATTATACCCATTCTCTGTGTTACTGTATCACTGTTCAAACAAAATTGTTAGTAAAAAATTTTTTTTATAAACTTCCACATTATAAACTTGATTGGCCAAGTATTTCAACCATAAATGTGAGCAATTAAAGTGAGGAGGAAAAGTTTACCTTTTATTAATCAAATAATAGTGGAGGTTGCAATAGGTAATATGAAGGCAGTGAAGAAAACAGAACTTTCATGAATTAAATACAGAATTAGGGCACCGTTTACCTTAGTATTATGTGTGGACTGAAGGCTTATAGAAAACTGCAAATCAGGATTGTCTCTTAAAATGGGATTTATTTAGGCTGTTATGATTGCTCTTTTAACTAAGGAGCAAGATAAAACTTGTTAATTAAATATAAAAATAAACAATGCACTATTGTGCATGATTTGGAATACAGTAGGTTCTCTAAAAATAACCTTTTCACTTATTACAATATTATAACATAATAGTGACATATTTTTCTTTCTGTTCCCAGAGGGAAATGAATCATATACACTAAAAAAAGGTCTTTCTTCAGCAAAAAGGCTGCCTGCAGCAGTTGTGGCTGAATATGCCAACTGTAATTAAAACCACCCTCAGAATGCATTTCACCATTTATTCATACTGACATGTGTTCCTTGCCCTGTGAACCTGAAGCTGAGTGAGTTGAGTCAAACACTAGCTATATTCTGGAAACTCTCTAGATGGCCATAGAAGAGGTTTAGTGCTTCAAATCATGAAGACTTCGCATTTTATTTATTTATCACGTATTTATAACTTTCTTTCCTGCCTATTTTTCTTCAGACGTTTAGAAAGAACAAAGGAATGCAATCTATTAATATATATACAAACTGACTTGACAGGCTAGGTGAACAGCAGAGGATACAACGCTACTTTTAACAAGTATGTTGCATGGATATCTTGCAGCTTTTGTGGAAGGAACATTTTAAAAGAATGTATTTTAGCATTTTACATATTTTGTTCTTGCATTTTTGTTTTGTTATTGGTTTATTTGGTTTTCTTGCAATATTTTAATAATAGTTCTAACAATTTAACATGCTGTTAAGAAATGGTACCCAATGTTAAACGAACAGGGACAGTTGTCCTGTGTTTTATAAGTAAGTGCTCTGGATCTCCTGAAGGTATCAAATTCAGCACAAGATCTTAAACTTGTTGGGTAATGCAATCAAACAAAACTTTTTGTTATCAAATTTCAATGTCCCTTAATAAACATATGACTGAAAATTCTGTTTTTATGTTGGGAATCAGCAGTTTTTCTCCATTTTTACCAGGTAGCAGAAGATATACCTCTTGTAGAAAAAGAAGTTTAAAAACAATAAAACAGAAGCAGTTCTTTAATGCCTTCCGCAATTTAACATCCTCTTGATATATGTAGGAGTTCAGTAGACTGAGCCCAAGGCAGGATCAAATGTGTTATAAGTTTGGAATCGCTACACTCCCACAAGAAATCCCAAGTCCAGTCCCCTATGAATTCTGTTGCCAATTTGGCTTGATCGTTAATAGATCAGATTCTTGTGTATAGGTTCCATGTCATAAACAGCCATTTGGACAGCCATTTGTCTGAAATGGTATAGGGTTTCCTGCCTGAGCAGGGGATTGGACTAGATGACCTCCAAAGTCCTTCCAATTATTATTATTATTATTGTTGTTATTATTATTATTATTATTATTATTATTATTATTATTATTAACATTTAGTGCCTTGAGCTCAACTCCTATGCCTGGTTCTTGCGCCTAACAATATGTTAGGCAACAACTCCAAGTTCTAGGCAGCATATGAATTCTGGGAATTGTATTCTAAAGATTTCTGGAAGACCCTGGTTGTAAATGTTTTTAGTAACAAGTAAAAATCTGATAACATATGGAGTTTGTGAAGGATTAAAAACTATAAATCTGATATATTTAATAAATTTGGAATCACGTTTAGGTCCAAAGAGTTAAAAAATTATTTGTTCTGCTAAATAAAAGTAATATTTTTTTCAAAAGTGAGGAAATATCATTCTTCACTACATGGTTTCACATCTCATGTATAAATGTTATACCTGAGACTCTTTGAGTGTGAGATGGGTGGTACCTAAATTTGATAGATAGATAGATAGATAGATAGATAGATAGATAGATAGATAGATAGATAGATAGATAGATGTTGTTTTAATCTTTTTCAATGAGCAGAAACAAAAAGTTGTATCACTTCTTTAATTTGCCAAACATAACTACTGAACATTTTACATTTTCCTTTGAGGAAAGAAATTGTTGGTTTCAGTTATGGCACCTTTGTTCTAGAACAGGGTCCTTCTAGAAAGCATCCTGGCTTCAGATGGCCTTCTGAAATGTAGTGAAGCCTGAATGTTTTTAAAGATTTCTGGCCTATCATTGTTCAGCCCCAGTATTTTAGATTATGCTCTTTAGTACTATTACTTTTATTTTGATTTGTTATGAATTTGTATTATATGATTAGATTAATGACGTTGGATTTTTAAAATTATTATTACTGTTATTAATGAACGCTTTTCACATTTATGTCATTTCACGTTGTTGCATGTCATTGTGAAACTACATGGTTTGGAAGCAAATATATTTAATGAACAATTATCCTGGTAATGAGAATATATCTTCTACCAAACAGAAAATGAAAATATAAACATACTTACCACCAAACCTTGTTCACCTGGTTTTCCAGGTTCTCCCTTAAATGCAAAATAATGTTATAGAATATATAATTAAAAAGGAGATGAATAGACAAAAATGATACCAGCATAGATCCACTAATAGCTATTTACTGTAAAGGTTATATGATGCTTTCAGGGGTCTTACATTGCCAAAGGGAAAAGTTACTGCACTCATGCTTTTTTTGTATGTGTCCTAAACTCTGTCCAACTCAAAATACACTAACAAGGATAAAACAAGATAACAGGAAAAAAAAGCAGACAAGAAACCTTATGTAGAAGGAGGGAATCAAACCCCCACCCCCCCAAAATTTCCACCAATGTCTAATATCCAGAGAAAAGGGCACCAACCATCCTAGTCTTAGGCCCGGGAGAACAACCAGATCTTTATGGAATTTTGGAATGGCACACTTCCAGGGCTCTGATAGATTAGATTGTTTAATCAAATTTTTATACTGTTTAATTGAATTTTGCTGTGTTCTAATTGTATCCACATTTTTAATGAGGTGTTAAATAATAAAGTAAAATCATCCAGACTGTCTGGCTTCTATTTTGCTAAACAGCCAGTTTTTCACTCAAACACAAAATTCTAGGGCACATCCTTTAGTCCACTTTATTTTTTATTTCAGTTTATTTTATCTTGTCATACTCTGTTTTTTCTTATTTTATTTCGTTTTGTCTTATCAAATTCTATCTTATTTTATTGTGGCTGGCACCCATTATTTCTTAATGTGGTCAACTGAGTAATCATAAAATTACTTATAGTATAAATTATAATAATAAAAGATGTAGGAATAGTTTCCTAGATATTCTTTCTCTTCAGATAGTTTTAATTAAGTTCATATATTTCCTTAAAGGTTATTCTTACAAAATAGGAGAACACAGTACTATTTCCTTTAACACTAATTTCCTGGACTGGTAACTGGTAAAAGATTAAAATTCTTAATGTAATTTTGCATAGAAAAACTTTTCTAGATAGATCTTAAATATATGAATTTAATATAGAAATTAATTATAATTATATCAATTGATGAGTTATAAAGCTAAAAATTTGACTCTTGGGTAAGTCCATAATAAAACCAATAAATACCGATCACCCCCGTCCATGAATGGGGGAATACATAGCAAAGAGGAGGCAGCACACTTGGATCGCGGTTGTAAGAGACGGAGGAATTTGACAGTGAGATCAAGGAAGAACTGCACCCCCCCAAAGCATGGTGTCATATACACGAGGATGAGGGGTGAGGGGAAGAATTACCATTAATATATAAAGGGAAAAAAACTCCCTCTGCCCATAGGGTTAACAAGGAGAACACTTACGGTAAAACACGGAGGAGATATGGGAAAACATCATACATTGACGTAGGTAAGCATCTGAGATACAGCACCAACAGCTGGGTCCAATAACACGTTCTAGAAGCCGGATACAGGGTGCTAACATCATATAAAGGCTCTTTTCCAGTGACTACTTTTAAAGCCTTGATGATGTTTGGTGATCCCAACGAAAGCTCGGTTCATTAAATTTTTTACTACTTTCCTCTTGGTGATCGGTATTTATTGGTTTTAATTATATCAATTTATGAATTTATGAGGTTTTTTTCTGGCATACAAGGCTCTGAAAATTTTAATCAACTATTACAATCTGTATAAAACATAACCAGAATAGTTTTTTTTAAATTGTTATCCTATGATGCATGCATTCATAGAGCTATTTATTCATTAACAAAAAAAATCCATTAACTATGATTTAAAAAATAGGAAAAAATAAAAAGTAAAGAAGTTAACATAATAACTTGCCATTATTTAATATAGTATTTTATTATAGTATCACTGTGCTATAATAATTTTTATTGGAGAAATAAAAATAATATCAAAGTATCATTTCTTTCTTTTTCAGCAAAAGGTTATTAACCCTAAAAGGTTTGTTAAAAAAAAGTTTTCATCAGCTCTGCTAAGTCCAGCACTTGCTTTTCAGGTAGATATTTTGAAATGAAACAAGTTAGTTAATTCCCTATCTACACCAGTGATCTTAATGTATGATGCATATGATGTGTAATATCTATGATGACTGACTCACCGGCACCCCAGGCATTCCTCGTGGCCCATCTTTACCAGTATCTCCAGGGGGTCCTCTTGGTCCAGGGGGTCCAGGAGGTCCAGGAGGTCCAACTTGCCCTTGATCACCCTGAACATCCATCAATAAGACCAATGTTAATATGTTCAAACAATCCAGTATAATAAATAATGTTCAAGAAATCATGCATACAAAAAAAGGTCAAAATAATTGATTGACAAGGATTTTAGTCAATCTATGTGTATAACTAAGTACTCATATTTATCATATACTAGACAACCTGTGACATGCAGGGTCACCATTTCAAAGATATTATCTTACCTAAACAGAGAAACAGAGGGATCATCAGTTGATGCAGGAACAGGAGTGACTTGATTTGCCTTTTTCCATTGACTTTCCTTGTTGGAAGCTGGCAAGGAACATTGACCCATTCCTTCCTTCCTTCCTTCCTTCCTTCCTTCCTTCCTTCCTTCCTTCCTTCCTTCCTTCCTTCCTTCCTTCCTCCCTCCCTCCCTCCCTCCCTCCCTCCCTCCCTCCTATTTTTTTTTGATAACAAAAAACTGGTTACCTCTCAGAAAAGAGAAGGAATTGGATTTAGGCCTACAATTCCTAAACAATTGATTGGCATTAATTGTGCATGATCACTTGATGCTGATAGCTACTCCTTTTAGGCAAGAACATGGCCTCAGTTATCCTTTTTAAAAGTTCTGTTGGATTATGACTTCCTGTTCTTTGTGGCCTCTGAAGCTATTTTAAAACAGCATCAGTCATCTTGATTGGAAAGTGACAAAATTCACAAATATAATAAAGCAATGCATTCTTAAACCATAAGTAAGCACACTTTTAACATGCAAGTAACAGAGAATGTGCAGGAAAAATATTCTCCATTTGTACATGACACAAGCTACAATGATCTTGTGAAAGTTCTGCATTTGAAGAATATCTAGAAAAGATTATATCAGATTTACTGCTCCCAAATTTCACAGATATTTGTCTGTAGGGAGAAAACCATTTCTTTGGATGTTATATTAAAGGTTGAGCAATTAGAGTTAAATGGAGGTTGTAAAACTTTTATGATAGGTTACAAAATTAGCTCATGAGATTCAGCAAGTGAGCACTGATTGACATCTAAGGGGGCAGTGAAATATGACTTCTTGCTGAAATCTGTACATTTTTTAAGCTTTATGTCAGATAGCTTTATATTTATTTAATTTCTTTTTTTAAGCAATTTTTTTATAAGTACAATTAAGAACATCAACTTGAGGGACATCAGTCTATCCACTTCACAATGCATCATGCTGAGTAATTAACTGTTAAATTAACAATCACTCTTCCTTCAAAAATACTGTTTTATCCAATTTCCAATAAAATTAATAAGCCCACACAGGACAATTGATAAAATTAATTAGTACTATATAATGAAACCCCATGAATTTTATGTAGCTGTTTAAAAAAAAGTAAATATCCATTTCATTAATAGTAATTTAGTTCAAAAAAAGCTTCATCAATATTTATAATTTAGCAATCAGCTGCAAGCAAGAGAATGGGAAAAGTTCAGAGAGAGATGAAGCACTACCTTAATGAGGCGGCGTTTAATGAGCTGCTGATCAGCAGAGAGAAACCCATGATTGATTTTAGGAAACACCATCTGATCAGGCAGGTGAGGTCAAAGGTTGAAGTGCAGAGGTGAAAGAATTGAAGAACAGACATCAGAAGGCACCAAAGAAGAAATAGAAAGATATACATTAGACTTGTAATAGCAAATATAACTTCCAACTGGTGCTTCTGTCTATCAAAAGAATCTATGCTTTGTTTTAGAATTATCGCACAGATGCACAAGTGGGAGGTAGAGCCTCCATGGTGTTGTCCTTATATGAAATAAGCGGTAACACGATATTGCTCTCAAAACTCCTAATTGGACTTCAAATTTTAAAATATTTCTTCAGCAACTGGAAGATCAAAATGAAATGTTTTTATTTCACATCATGAGCAAAGATTCCAAGACACAAAGCACCAGTTCAGCTTTAGTCAGACTTTCCAAATAGCATATGATGCCAGGTGCAATAGGACCTTTAAATAGGCATAATGGCCTGCTGGTCCCTAGGTAGGTAAAATCATAATTAATTAATTTTTAGAGAATGTAAGGGTATGTGACTAGGTCACCACCGACAAAATAAATGGTGGATATTATTAGTAAGATTTATACACTCTTTTAATCTTTGTGATTGTTTTATGAATGCTCTGTTTTGGCCATTAAAAGTATTTACAGAAATATCACCATGTAAGTTTGGGTTTATCTAATGCAGTTCTGACTAATCCCTCTGCAATGCAACATTATTGAAGAAATAAAGATCATATAAGGGATGATCAGGTGAATTGACCAGCTTCTGACAGCAAATTCATTATCCATGACATCTTTATGCTGATATAGAAAGACTGCCTAGCTGATGCATGTTGGCCACAAACCTTGACGGTGAGGATCTGATTACTGTGAAGGGCGGCAACTGTGGGGAAGCCTGGCAGACCCTAGGGACATACACACACACAATACCAAAATAACACGACACAAAACGTCACACAGAATGGCAATTTAACAACAGACAGAACATTAGGGTTATAACTCAATCTTCAGATTTGTTATAGATGGTGGCATCTTATAGGTTTCATTTTTTTTGAACAAATATGGAGGGTGTCCAGGATTAAAGAGGTCACCTATAAATATAAAATATTGCAAATAACTATTTGAATATTAGTGTCTTATTTATTAGCCACAATGGAAATAGGTCACCTTCTTCAGAATAATGTTATATTGTAGATTTAGGAATGTTAAATTAAATCTATAAATGAACAACAACTCTGAAATGATATAGCTTTTAAAGTTTAATAGGGTTTTTTTTGTTACCATGCAACATAAAGAACATAAAGTATCAGTGACACACAAACATATAGGTACATTAAATTGAACATTTTACTATATTGGAACTAAAGAGTTAAAGGTGTATCTTTCACATTAATCAGAATTAAATTTTTTAATATACTTACAAACTAAGAGAAGATTATCAAATGCAATAGAACAGACATGTCAAACACAAGGCCCAGGGGCCAGATGTGGCCTGCGAAGTGGTTTCATGTGGCCCACGAAGCCATCCTGAAAACAGTGAGGGAATGGCCCCCGCTGCCTTCGCCCTGGCCCAGGCCAGTCAGGAGCCAATGTACAATTTTGTGGTGGCCATCTATGCTGAAATGCATTCAGTCTTAGCTCCACAAGGCCATCTGGAAACAGCAAGGAACCAGCCCCTGCCGCATCGGCCCTGTCCCCTAGATGCATGCTGGGGAGATGTCACCCTTTGTGAGGAATGGAGAAATGCACCATCGCTTGGAAGTGGCCAGCAAATGGCCCTCGCCTACTTCACATATCCGGCTTGATGGGCTCTGCCCCGGTGCCACCCCTTTCTGCCAGAGACCCTCAGATCTGTCCCACTCCTGCCCAGGCCACCACAGGCACCCTTGACACGAATGATGTAGAGCTGGCCACGCCCACCCAGGAGGCCACACCCACTCCATCCACACCAACCCAGTAGGCTGCATCCCCCCCAGGGCAACTGCAATGCTGATGTGGCCCTCAATGAAATTGAGTTTGACACCCTTGCAATAGAAGATATGTACATCTGATTTCTTCCAACTTTCCAGTACTGTTTTGGGAGATAGCGGGGAAGGGTATATAGATTATAAAAAGGGATAAATTTCACACTTACTGGAACAGATTTGTTAAGTATACTTTTTTTAAACAACCAACCATCCAATCATTCAGGAGAAAAACAAACAAATAAATGTACATACAGTACATTTATGCACAAATCCCATGCACATCTGTGTGGAAGTAATTCTTATGAAATGTAATGAACTTAGCACCCAGGTAAATAGTTATAGGAGTTTTAAAAATTATTAGTCCTTCCAAATACATTGTGGTGGTTTGAAATGATTTGGAATTTGTTTTCAGTTTGGGTGGCTTCTTCTACTAGTATGCCTTCTATCTATCCTTATAGTAGGGAATAGAAATTTAAGCTGAGACTTGTAGAATCATAGAACCCAATAAATCTTGTAGAATTACTCCAAATGTCTGCCAAATGCAGGACTCCACTATTATAGAATCTCTGAGAGATGGCAATTCTGCACCTGTTGAAATACAACTACCAAAGGAAAATGCACTACTTTCTGAAGCAGACTATCACAACATTGAACAGCTTTTACCATTAGGATTTTTATTTTTATGTCCAAATAAAATGTACTTCCTTAAAAAAATAAACCATTTATTTTCCTGTGTTCTAGAACAATTATGAATAGTTCTGCCTTATGTTCTACATAAAGTCCTTCAAATACTTGAAAACAACAGTCAGGTCTTCCTACAACCTTCTCTTTTCCAGATTAAATATACCAAATATATCTGATTTTTTTTTCTTACAAGACTTTTACCATCTTGATTGGTCTCTGATGAACACATTCCAGTTTCTTAATGTTTGTCCTAAAATGCAGTATCTAGACATGGATTCAGTATTTAACTATAATATGATTAATGTAAAATATAAAGGGACAATTAAATTTTCCTTATCTCGGTATAATATTTCTGTTAATGCAGTTTAGGATTGCATTTGCTTACCACCTTCCAGTTTGATCTGAAACCACCATATTTGCTCATCTAGCTCTGCATTTATGTGTTTTAGTCAAATTTTGGTCTTTTCTCCTGGAATCTCATGGTTTTATCAAATGCATTGCATTTAGAGGTCCACTCTATTGCTGTACTCAGTTAAATTGGGCATTTTATTGTCTCTCCCCACTGAACAGAGGGTAACATCTTTGATTGAAGTTTTCAGTAACTAGCGGTTCTTTGATTAGTGTTTCTACTTGAAGTAACAAAGTCTTTGAAGTAACAAAGCAAACTCTCCATGAGGAATGTAGAGTCTGATAAGAACTGGCTCAAATCTGTCAAGGACACTGACTTGAATTTTAGTAACTTGCAAACTCATTATAGTGTGAGAAAAATATGTCTTGAATATCTAGATGAGTATTAATAAGATCATACTAAGAAACCATGGAATGTTACATGTTACACCTGAATATGTGCATTGTGTCAGAAATGTTTCAAATGATGTTAATCAATGAAAGAACTCAATATATAAAGTAATTCTCCACCATTCTAAGGTGCTCCTCTACAAGGTGAGGTACTCTCTTTGCTTATGTACATAAATGAGGAATTAATTTTTTTAGTCTACCTTTCCAGTTTGGGTAGGGCACAATGGGCTGGATGCATAATGGCTAATATAACAAAATTAAATTAGATTAATTTGGAATGATTTTTTCTTGCTAAATCAATGCTGAACTTATTAAGCAATAAATTATTTTCTAAAGGTTCACAAGCTGTTTATTAATCTATGTCATAATTTTGTTCATTATCAGTTCAGCAGTCTATAATTAAATTGGTTATCTTTTATAGCTGGAACAATACTTGCCAATGTGTGATTCTGTGGCATTATGCCTGCCTTTTATGATTTCTCAAACATCATAGAGACTTCACACTGACATTTGCAACTCATTCAAGATCCTTGAAATAACTTTATTCACTATAGCCAGGTATTTTTTAAACATCTCTTTTTTAAACTTGGATTGCTACTCTCTTGTTAACTATTCTGCTTAAATTAGTTTAAGCACAGTTCCCATTGTGATCTGCCTGATATCTGCCCGATATCATCTACTTTTATCCTGGTAGCATGCCCATTGCTCTTTCATCCTTCATTTTACTACTCTCAGCTTTTTTTTTAAAAAAAAAAACACTTTTTGTTAATGTTAACTACTTCCACACATTCCATTTCCTATACATGCCCCTTTTAAAACCTAGCACAGCTGAAAATTCCTTATTAGCCTCAATATTTTCTTTAATTTCTCATTTTTCCTCATGGGAATTATATGAAAATTTTCTTTCAATGTTTTGTTTCTGAGAAGTTCTTAGCATTTTCTTTTATTTATGGGTTGTAGTCAATGGGATTTCATCTAGCAATTTCTTTGCTGAAATTGCCCTGAACTCCACTCAACTTAATTTCTATTTCTATATTATTCTGAATCTCAAAGTGACATGATCATTACTCCCAAGATTTTTGCTTTTTTTTCCTACTTCAACAAACTTCTTGATCTAGGATGAAATCTAGAAGAGCCAATACCCTTCTCTACATTTAAACTTCTGAAAAATTAAAGGTGTTTGGGGGATCTTGCAATTTTGATCAAGTTAGTTTTCAAACAGATACTTGAGTACTTCCATTCTATGTCTTTCCTTCCTGAAAGTTCTGTAATCTGGTCCAGGAAGACATTATCTTCTGTCTAAGTAAGGTTTGATGTGTCGTAAACCGTCACAATGAAATGTTCTTTTTTACATTCTTTTTCAGATGTTCAAATTCCTGTATCTTTAACCCATATCTACACTTTACGCACATCACTCCTTCTGTTTTGTACAGTTTATTTCTTTTGAATAAGTTAAATTCTTTAATCCTATCGTTCTATTCATGTGTTGACTGAATATCATAACTATATCAAACAGATAGTAAACCTCAGTTTTATGTTTATTTATTTATTTATTTATGAGACTTATATACCGCTTTA